TACTATAGCAGACAACATATTATTTTGGTGACGGTAATCTTATGAATGGGAGCAGGAACATATCATTGTTGGATTAAAATCATATATTTTCGCATGTCAAATGACAACAAAATATTCGCTTTTGCTATTAAATGTGGATGTTTTGACAATATATGTATGTTTCACACATAACTACTGAAAGAATATGAATTAAAGACAGATTAAAGTTTGGAGTAACATATGGGATACTTTTGTCCTGAAAATGCTGAAGTCGACGATACCACTGGTAGAATCATTATACCCTAGAAGGACAAGTAGAAATATCCCCACAATACCCCTGTTTTGACAGTCCCATTGCCATAGAGTTCGAAATTACTGCTTAACACCAACCATAGCAAATATTGGAACGAGCAAATATCTCCACTAAAGAACTGAATAGGTACAATATTTTTGGAAATAAACACAGTCTACCACTGGTATGCGCACCATAGCACTACGGCACCATATGACAGGTGGCTGAGCAGATGTGTAAGGTCAAGGACACGGGTTCGGCGCCCGGGTGATACGTTTTTATTGCATTTTCGAAATAGTGATGTTGTTATTTGTATGATTACTTTATTTCGAGGGTTCTTCAATACTCAATACATGTAACAATTTAATAAATTCTAATTTATTGATATGTATTAACAAGTTTCGTTTCTGACAATACTAAAGTCGACTGCGCGGTTGGTGCGGTGGCTGAGCAACGTGTTCGATTCCCATTTAATATATGTACTTAACAAAAAAATATATACATATATATAAAAAATCGGAGCCGACCAGCAGCGAAAGCATGGTTCAAGCTACCGGTGGTTAGGGCTCCGGAGTAGGAAACCTCCTCACGGTACGTACCGTTTCTCGGAGAACTGCCTTATGTATCAGGCCCTTGATCCATCCGCCTAACGCCAGCCTCCGAAGATGGATGTCGAGGGCTTTTAGGGATTAACCCATTGACCGACACAACTATCGGCTCAATGATAGCCGAATCCACACTTCACATGTCGACAATCTTGTGAACTAAGTCTAGATATATTATTTGTTTATCTTTCTCAGCTTTCACGAGGTTCTCGTCATGGGGAGTGGTGACTTCGATTAACATCCTATAAACACTAGTCAGACTATCACCACTATGTCAGGTTATTTGTGACATAGTGGTGATACATCATATGTCCTAGTGATGATAGATAGTCAGGACATAGTGGAGTGTGTAGGGAGATAATATTATTTCGGTTACGGCTTAAGGATAGCCGATAAACTCCTGATCTAAATGAAACAATTCTAATGCTGGTTTCCACCGACCACTCTTAAGGAACTCCTAAGCTAAGATAGGTGACTCTTAAAGACATTTTGTTTCCACCAACTTATGAGTGACACTTAAAGGGTTTAGGTTTTCTATCACGCTAAATAACCTCTTTGTTAGGATGGTTTTGAATAACACGAATAATTCACTCAATATTATTATCATTACGTAAACCTATTATTAGAAAATAATAAAGAGTACTTATTGTACCCATTTTATAATACCACCCACGTTATTATGAAAGAGGGAACATGACGTAACGTTCACGGGAGGGCCACGAATCAGGCAGGGGACGACCGATCAGTGGAGAAATTGATTAACAAATAATTGTATTATCTTCTCTAGACGTTTTATTACCTTTTATTCTGGGGTTTTCCTTTGATTATCTAGACACCACTGACAAACGGTGAAGGAAAACATCGTGAGGAAACCTGGGCTTATAATTTCTAATTATAAGTTTGAAATCGCCAACCCGCATTGAGCAAGCGTGGGGAATAATGCTCAAATATCCGTACGAGAAGATATCATTGGTCAGCAGTATTGTTGATGATTCTAGGGTCTTGTCTAGTGTTTTTTAAGTTAGATAGTTGAATACTTTTTGGAATTGGTCTTTATTAAATTCTTGTGGACATATGGAGAGAAGGACCAAAAAGTTGTGTGTGGTCCTTTTGTCCTAAAGTTAGGTTTTTGAGCTATAATCTACACAAAGCTTTATTAAAGTTTTGTTAAAGTTTTCTCAACCCCAAGATTGAAACTTAAACCCCTATATTAGTCACACCGACATGATTCAATCCAAAAAATACCATATATCTTCCTTAATATAAAGTCTAAACTGCCTAAACCTAAGTCAGCCCGTATTTCGTGAACGTGACACCGTAAACATAAAGGATGCACAATCTATACATACATTGTACATAATATATACAATAAACAAAACCAGTATAAACTGACCTGTCGAATGTGTGAAAATATTATACAAAGCGGGACTAAGATATACTGGATAATATAGCTTGATAAAAACCAGTATAACCTGACCTGTAGAATATATGGATAGATGGTAAAAAGCGGGACCATAATAATCTGGTTATGTACAGCTCGATGTGAAGTCGTGTGCATACATGAGAATCAGCTGATTGAGTTGGTGTCAGGTTGCCGACCATGGTGGCGACCACCCATAGTGCAAACTAAGGCGTATGTGTATGGGTTGTAAGCATGGTTGTGTATTACAGTATATGGGGGTCTGGTTAGTTAGGAATTTTACCTTTTTTATGAGATGAGCGGGTAAACGAGCAGACGAATCACCTGATGGTAAGCATCGCCGTCGCCCATGGACACCTGGAACACCAGAGGCGTTACAAGTGGGTTACCGGCCTTTTGGGGAATTTGAGGATTGTGGGGGATTCAGGGATTGGGGCCCCTCCCCAAGTAATTGGTCCTCCGGTAACCTCACTCACATGACGAAACACAACGCAAGCGTTGGTTTTCTGCTCGGCCGTGGTATCACTCCGATCGAATCGGGCTATTTGTGCCAAAGCATGGCTCTCCCACATTTCATCATCTCGAATTCTTTAAAACGCATGCCTAAAATATTTCGAAGCCATAAAATATTAAGCTCAAAGGACCACAATCTGACACGCTGAGAATTTCTTACACTTAGCAACGAACACTTATAAGTATTCACATCGAAGTAATGAACCGAGTTGTCCACAAAAACAGCATCATATGGTCGGTAATTATTATGAGATTGGACAATTTTGACAAGAAGTTCTTGAATTGAGGGCAAAAAAGTTCTTAATATGGTTACAAAGAGTTCTTGTGAGTTTTCACTTTTATACCGACTCCGATTTGAAAGGTGAAGTTTTGTGTTGTACTTGTTGTGTTTATTAATAGCTACCTCCGCGCGATTTTTACTCGCTGCTGGTCTCCTATTGATCGGAGCGTGATGTTTTATAGCCTATAAGCTTCCTCGATAAATGGACTATCTAACACAAAAACAATTATTAAATTCGGACTAGTAGTTTTGGAGATTAACGCGTTCAACCAAACAATCAAACTCGCTCGCAAAGCTTTATACAGTAAAAATAGTACTCTGGCCATTTCCACTGTACCATTTCCGAGCAAAGAGTTGCTAGTTTTTTTTTTATTCTGTCAAGTATTGTTATTGCCATTTACGATTTAATCTCAGTTGTCATTAATAGACTCATTTCCTGACACATGGGGTCACATGATTTGAAAATTAGGCGTTAAAATTAATACCTAGAAGTGGCTTTATCTGCCTAAAGATTAGGTCCAAAATGAAACGTAGAATACACTTTTAGGTAATAATTATCCAACCGACGTATTTTGTAGATTATTTTTAATTATAATTTGTTTATCTTGCTATCGCTTGGTTTTAGAGTCCAATGTCAAAATTTTATTCGATAAGCAAACAAAGGTATTGGAACGACAGCAGAAAGTTATGGCGTAATTTGGGGCCTAGGTAGACTCTTAGAGTAGTAGTTATAATAAGTGTCTTCTATCCTATTGGTGGCGCTAATCGCTTACCATCAGGCATCAAGTAACCTGAAGTATGGTCGCGTGCCTTCTATTCTTAAAAAAATCTATCCTAACTATATCATCATTGTTTATGCATCAATGTTCTATACTTAATTTGAAGTTCATTATTAATTTAGTGATCATAATTATGAGATATAATTCTTTCAATAAGACCAAAAAGGCATTTTTGAACGTCAAACAAAATTAATTTATAATTGTCAGTCTGTCAGTCAGTCCTCTAGTGAAGCTATTTGCTCGTTCCAAAGTGTAGATTCCTATGGAGAAGAATGAGCAAGAAACTCCATAGGTTATTTACTCATCTTCAATCAGGTACACATTACAATTTTAATCAAATCAGGCCATTGCCACAATACCGGACGATTTCCAACTGGGTTTTTCAAAATATCTATAGTAGTTTCTCGGCTCAAAAATAAAACCTCAAACTTTATATCCTGCATTAATAGTCTCGGTAACTTGACCAACAAACGAAAAGTATCAATTATTTCTATTATAGTCCATATAAGACTTGACAGTGAATTTAACACACATCACCCTCAATCGAGGATTGATGAAGCAACATACCGAAAAACGAACAATACACTAACACACCTTGTGCCTTAGATTTCGTCCAAAAGCATTCACTTGTCAGAAATTACAATTGAACCCTTCTATATAGAGAAATTTTTAATGCAAATTTTACCTGGTCCTTTGGGATCGGAAGGACCAATAGTCTTTGGTCCTCCGATACGTTCCCAGGGGCTTAAAGCAAGGTGCTAAAATTTTTTCTATGGGATCATAGAGTGTGCAATTTTTTTGGTTTTTGATTTCGTCGGCTTTGTCTATGTACGGTTAGAATGTAGATCGAATTCGTTAGGGTGGTCCTTATGGATTGTGATTACATGTTTAATCATGTCGAAAATTGCTTGTTTTTGTTTGAAGGGTTTTTTGGGTGCGAGAGGAAATGCGTTCTTGATTGATTTTTTTGAGTGTGTGTGTGTGTGTATTTTGGATGGTTTGTTGAGAGGTTGTTTTTTGAGATAGTGGCAGATTTTTGTTTTTCTATGATCCGCACGATGTGACGTTTAGTATTTGGAGTTTAGTTACTTCTTTGCTAAAGTTTTAAGTTTTTCAATTTTATTTTACATAGGTCTACAAACATTCATCAACAAACAATTAAAAATAATCTAAACAAAAGTGTAATTAAAAACAAAGTGAAGTGCAAAGAACAAAAAGCAGTGTTGCCAACCAAAAAAAGTGATGCGTAAAAATAAATGCAAGAAATTTAAATTCAAATGATTCGATAGATTGAGAATGGCCCTCAGGCATGACGTCACGAACATGGACAATACATTCCTCCCCGCAGATCCTCCTCCAATCTCCGAAATCATATACGAACCACGAACAGACTTAGCTACGGAATATTTTAACACTTTTAATCAAATATGTGAGAACTATCGAAGTGATTCAGACGTCAATCTTCGGCAAACTTCGGACAGTCTTCGGTTATCTTCGGAGATACTCGACGGTGTTCGGTCCGAATATGTTAGTTCGGACTTTACTGGCAAAGACTTTGAAACAAATGCCCAGAAAGTGTTTTTGAGTGCGAAGGATGAGCAGATCTTCCAGTTTGGACAGCCTGATGCCTCGGCTCTGTTGAGGCATAGAGCAAGAAGAAGATACAATGAGGAGCATGGTCTGCAGCCACCGGCTACTACTAGTCAAGAAAGTGGGGTAAGTTGAGTGAAACAATATCATCTAATTCATTTCGGTGCGGGATCAAAGACAGAAATGGGGCCTAGTAGGTCTGATGCCCGATACGGAGCCGCGGAAAGCCTAACAGGTTACCGTGTCTCTGGCTCGAAATGCAAGAGTAGGAACGTGGTAGTTTTAGTCAGTAACAGTTTGACACACCCTCTCGCCTAATCAGAACCCATTGGATAATTACCTCCCTCAAAAATAGACAGTTAGAGTAAGAAAAGATAGTTCATTTCTCTGGGACGCGCCGGACTTCAGTGGGCCAGTGTTTGAATGGTTGTATCTACTGTATATCCTGGTGTACAGGAGTTGCAGCGGTTTTAGGAGACTGTGGCGAGCGTCCAAAAAAAATCAAAGTTTATTAGACAAGATATTGAGGACAAATATCCTTTTTAAAATAGTTGGTTATTTTCATCCTGCTAATCAGTATGTTATTCCAATTATTTTATGTATAAAAGAGACTCGCAATATTTCTGAATTACTCATAAACCGTTTTGTTTTGGGTACCTTTTATATGTAACTAATATTTCCTAATGATGACCTAATATTGTCGCTAAGCCGATATGTATAAAAAAGATTCAAATATTTTTCCTGTCGTCTATACCTACGTGACTTACCATAATTTTGAAGTTGCAACTAATTGTCAACCAAAAATGTAACAAACCAGGGTCCCAGAGACATAAAGTATTTATTTAATTTTATCACAGTAAGATCACAAATAGACATCATATTGGCTATGTGCGCGACGGTGGCGCCGCGTAGCGTTTACAACATTTGCGGAAGCTGTCACAAATAATAACAATGTAAACATTTTCTTTGCAAATATAAATAAAACCAAAGATTAAAATACTTAGTATTGTTGACATTATTTAAGTGCAATTTATTCAATAGTTTTACTATAAAATGAATATAATAATAAAAACCGGGTTTGTATCATCCGCATTTTTTTCCAATTTCTGCCGTGTTGTGCGCTGCGGTCGTTATCTGTCCGCCACTACTCGCTTTGCACATAGCCAATAAGAAACAATTGACATTGTTCCTAAAACATTACTCATTACGACCGTCCCAAAACATCAAAAAATATAAACTTGGCAACGACAAAACAACAAAAAGTAAATAATATCTTCAACTGAATAATTACTCAGCCGGCTGCACCTCAAGCTGTACACAACCAGTATAAACTGACCGGTGAATACTTAGACAGATCATACAAAGCTAGACCAAGGTACACTGGTTTCGCATACCTCCACGTGTACATCTTTCATCGGTTGCTCATGGCTCGTACTATCTTTGTTGCTATTAGATAATTCTGCCCACGCTGTTTAAATATAGCTTCAGTCAATTATACCCGTCACAAACAGACAAACATACAAACATTTAGTGTTCAATCAAATATACATATGTTTTAGTTTTCGCCCGCATGTAGTTAATTCCAGTATTCACCAACCTGCCTAAAATGTTAACTACTTTACACCTAAGCTATTAGGTGACTCTTAACGATATTATTTTTCATCAACCTTTTACACCTAATAGTACAAGTAATGGGTTAGTTTAGGTGCTCAGCTAGGTAACTCTTAGTTAAGAGATGGTTTTTTAGGGGTTGTGGGTGAAAGACGGACATTAGAAGAATAGACTAATGGACTATTCTATTTAGATGTTTGTATGTGGTAAGGACTGACTTCATTTTTTCTAGTGTAGGTTCTGATTCTGTAGAAATATAGGAATAAGAAGTAACCAATGCTTAGTACCTGAAAACTAATATTCTACTATAAAAAAATCGGTCCATTAGTTTCATGGCGTGTTTAGTACAAACAAACAAATTAAAGAAAAATGTTTCTTTTTTATTAACAACTGTTCTAGCTGCTGCAAGCGGCTGTAGTGACGGCAGATAAAAATCTACCGTGATATTCAAATTTCATCCCTATCCCTTCAATCGTTTTGACGTCAACGAGTAACAAAGAAATATACAAACTGTCAATTTTTTTAATGTTAGTAGGATAAAAATATTATAAATATGTCACTTGATTTCTTCATAAGATAAAAGTTGTTTAAAATATCAAGATTTTGTGACGTTTGTTTAGTCATATTACTGTGAATATGTCAAATATAACCACGCCACGATAAGATATAAATACTATGTCGATAATAAATATGTTGTAAATATTGGGAGATGTCAATATAGTAATTTAGTAGTAGCAGATATTACACTAAAATATTACGTAAATAACATTTGTGCAGGTATCCAAAACGCAAAAACTACTGATCATATTTAGATGCAACTTCACACATGAATAGACTAAAATCTTTTCATCAACATAATTTTAACGAAAACCCCACCTTAAAAATATATCTAAAAAAAATAAAAATCACTTAAAATTAACAAAGATTCCTTTTAGAATGGCGCATTTTTGTCCAATATGTACTTACCTACAATCGAGTAGGTAATATTATACTTCGGCGTCACTTCTGACATAGCTTAATGGATTTTTGTCATACGATACTCATCCGCCATCTTGTATCGAAATTATAAATGAGTTTGGCGGGAATCGTGTTCGAAAGTCGAATGTACAAAGGTGCATTGAAGTTGAAGAAAAAAAAAGAAAAAAAAATTGGCATCTGCTGCGTCCGTGTCTATGAATTAAGAATTGATTTCGTTCACTTGCAAGATTTGTTCGTTACACGCAGGTTTTATGGTCAAATGTTATCTTTTTTTCTTGATCGGTTAATTTAATAAATGAATAGTTGGTGTTATTTGCACCTCTGTGTCTAGTTACTCATTTGTATGTGATATTAAATTGTTACAGTTTTTATTTATCTATGTTTTTTTTTTATTTCAAAGTTCGATAAATAAATACTTATACTAATAATTGTTACCAAATTTTAAAAAATTAATAGATCATAATAATTGGTGGCTAGGCAGCTGGCTGCCGCGCAACGCAACGTGACGCAGGTCCGATTCCCGCACGGAACAACTCTTTGTGTGATCTACAAATTGTTGTTCCTGGTCTAGGTGTCATGTGTATGTGAACTTGTATGTTTGTAAACGCACCCACGACACAGGAGAAAACCCTAGTGTTTGGCAACGATAAAAAAACACTTTAATTCACTACTCGAAACTAATGACGTACCTATCTCCAAAAATCCTGAACACAAACATACAGGTTATAATCTGGAGCAGATGATGCGTCGTCATTGTGATCGTATATCTCCTGATGCAGTGTACACGGAATGGGTGCCCTGCTTCCTGTAGTTTCATGAAATATGATTACTGATTTCATATTAAATGATTACGTAGACCCTGATATCTAAGTTATGGGAGGTAGCGATCAATTGAAGCCAGACGGTTATTCATATCAATATTATAAATGCGAAACTGTGTGTCTATTCGTTTGTCCGTCTTTCACTGCGAAAGGGAGCGACGAATTGACATGATTTTTTAAGTAAATATTGTTAAAAGGATGGAGAGTGACGGATGCTACTTTTTATCTCATACTAACCCTCCACTTTCCTAAAATTGGAGTTGGAAGTTTGTATGGAACATTTTGCGAATATAAAGGTAGAAATGTATTAATTGGTTGGCGGACTATTTTTGAAATCTTATACTCTTATCTTATACCCTTATACTTATAGTTACTATTATATAAAGCGGAAGAGTTTGTTTTTTTGTTTGTTTGTTTGAACGCGCTAATCTCCGTAACTACAAGTCTGATTTGAATAATTATTTTTGTGTTGGATAGTGCATTTATCGAGGATGGCTATAGGCTATAAAACATCACGCTACGACCAATAGGAGCTGAGCAGAGCGTGTGAAACCGCGCGGAAGTAGCTAGTTAGAGATAAATGTCATTACGAAATCCCGTATAAAAACCATTGATTGTAATAAATTACTTTAAGGCACTGAGGATACTCCTTCAAAGAATTAAATCCATTACGTGGTCACATCCACAATTTATGTCAGGAAGCGACCGCCCTGGGAACAAAGGTCCTTCATTGAGTCATCAGTACATCGTCTCGACGCGCCCGTTTATTAATTAGTTTATTTTTACATTTAACACGTAGCTATGCTGGTTATGCGGATGTAAGGGATTCCAGAGAATCCTGTCTGTATATAAATCGTAGTTAGTAGATCATTTTTATAGTATACTACTTCCGCGCGGTTTCACATGCTCTGCTCTGCTCCTATTGGTCGTAGCGTGATGTTATATAGCCTATAACCTTCCTCGATAACTGGACTATCCAACACAAAAAGAATTATTCAATTCGAACTAGTAGTTTCGGAGATTAGCGCGTTCAAACAAACAAACAAACTCTTCAGCTTTATAATATTAACACGTTAAACGCCATGGCAGTCACCGGTGACCGACATTAGCGGAGGATTTGCCTTCAACAGTTTTTTATTGGCAGCCAATGCCTTAAGTATAGAAGTATAGATTTTATTTATAAGACTTTTTTAGGGGGGAAAATCATCCAATGACTTCTCCCACCTTGGGTTAGGCGAGAGGGAGTGTCAGACTCTCACTGATTACTGACTAAAAACCACCCCGTTCCTACTCCTGCTCTTCGAGCCGGAGCCCCGGTAACGCATTAAGTTCTCCGCGACTCCGAATCGGTATCAGCCCTGTTAGGCCCCATCCGTGGTGGTCTGATGGCTCTTTGAGGCGCGCGCGAATTGCGACTGATTATTGTATTACCAAGACAGCACCATTTTACTTCAGAATGCAAACGAAATAAATTTCACGATGTACAACCTCCTCCCTCGCCTTCGTGGGGAATGTGAAAGTACATCACGTGACACGTTCCAAGTCCTGCTAGCTTCTAATGGCTGCACTCCAGCATTCTTATTAACCAGCAATGTATAATTCATTAATTAATTTACACGAACAGTTAGTGCGGATCCAAGGACTATTGGCGAACGGTACTATTGAGACGCGTACGTAAAACCATTTTATTACTTAATCACATCAAAACGGCTGAAGGGAACGTGATGATATTTGGAACTGGGGTAGATTATGGTCTGGTTTAACACATTGGCTACTTTGTGTCCCACGGGAATGCGTATGAAGCAGTTTGAAAAGGCTAGTCTGACATAATTAAAGCCTCCAAGTCGAGTAAACGACCATTCATTGTACACTATTTTCGTTGTTGTCCTATAATTTGATTGTGTGCTATACAATAATGTGTATAGATAAAAATGAAACTTTTTGAGAATCTAAGATTTCTTGCTCAACAACTTTGCTTATGCCAAGCCAACACACGCAAAAGCTTTCGACACACCACAAATATGGCCGTCCGCTGGAGATACGATTGTTAAGAGTCAGTTAAGGAGTACTCCTATATGGTGATATACAGGTAAGGGGTGAAATCTTACTCCTAACTGGTATAGCCTGGTATATGGTAAATGAGAACATTCAACCATATACATAATTGTAGTATCTAACATACCTCGTTGGCCGAGTGGTCGCAAGTGCGACTGCAGATCAGGCAAAAGATGACTGGGTTTTAAAAAAAATAGAATTCTCAGTAGTAGCACTGAGTCTGGAATTGTGCCCGGTATATGGCAATAGGCTCACCCCCTATTACATGGGACTCATAACATAAATAGTGTACTCATAGTCATAACATAGTAGGTGTTACATTGTACAGTGGCATTAAGTGCCTTAATATGCACCTCTGACTACTCCTTCGGGGGATAAAAGGCGTAATGTTATTAAATTAAGATCATTTTATGACGTAAGTTGTATGAAATTTGTATCAAAAACCGAGATTGATCCATTGATGTCCGTTAGTCGGGCATACGACACCCGCGGGAAGAGTAGGGGTGCTGACAAATGTATTCTGCTCTGCTGTGACCACACGGCTTACCCAGATTTTTTTTATATTTCATGGGCCGACGTTTGACCACTATCTCGCCTGAATTACTCAAACCCCAATTCTTCAATTATTCAGATTCAAAGATCAAGTATAACGCACAACCACGACACAATAATCGCAATCACAAAGACTTTCTCATCTGTCGCAATTGGCTAAGATCGGGCACACACTTACGACCTGTCCCTTTGTTAGTCTGTTATGGTGTTACAATTAGTGCGACCGGTATCACGCCAGGTGCGCAACTGTATGCCGATACTTCTTGCGGAGATATTTTATGAAATATCTTAAGAGTTGATAGACAACATGTTTGTGTAATTGTTTTGAGCGATATTTTGAGATAGACGGACGATTTTAAACTTAAAAAGAATAAAAAAAATCCAAAACTGAAATTTATATTAATTATCGTGAGAAATCCCGGGTTACTCACGTGAATACAGGCGATATGCGGCCAGTAGGCTGCGCGATATCGCCGCGACCGCAAACGCTCCTCATAAGGAAGAGCCCCTCTGTGGTTCGAAACTAGTAGAGCTTTTCTCAGTATATTCACGTGAGTAACCCGCAATTTTTAGTTAAATAAAACTGCTATTTATACAATTTTGCCATTCTAATCCTACTTAAATAGTGTGTCGTGGTGGCCCGGAGGTTTAAGACGCCCGCTTCTCATGCAAGAGGGTGCGAGCATTTACCTACCAACGGCAAGTACCAATGTGACTTTTTCTGAGTTATATGTACTTTCTAAGATTATCTAGACACCACTGACAAACGGTGAAGGAAAACATCGTGAGGAAACCTGGACTTATAATTTCTAATTATAAGTTTGAAATCGCCCCCGCATTGAGCTACCGTGGTGATTAATACTCAAACTTTTTCCGTGTGAGAAGAGGCTTTTGGTCAGCAGTGGGCATTTATAGGCTGTTGATGATGATGATGAAAATAGTATGTTTATTTGTTACTTTTCCACGTCAAAATGGCTGAAGAGATCGGGATTGGAACAACTTGGAACAGGGGTAGATTTTTTTTAAGGAGGGAAAATCATCGAATGACTTCTCCCGCCTGGGTGTGGCGGGAGGGAGTGTCAGACTCTTACTGGCTAAAAACCACCCCGTTCCTTCTCCTGCACGTCGAGCCGGAGCCCCGGTTACCCGTTAGGTTCTCCGCGACAACAGGGGTAGATTAAAGTCTGGATTTCTGGAATAACACATAGGCTACCTTTTATCCCACGGGCGAGGCACGCAGAAGAAGCAGTAGATGCTAGTATTATTTGTATTGAAAAAATATTTTAATTTTTATATGTAAGTAGTTCAACATTCCTATATAAAAGAAGTGACGCATTTTGAATCATGTACTTTGCTACTATAGGTACTTTGAGCACTCTTGTACATTACTAACATACAATTCAGAGAATCGAACCTATAATTAAGATGATTCCTCACTCTATATTGAGTTATTTATCCATTAAAATATTTTCACATTAAAATGCTTTTGTTTGTTACCGACTTAAAAAAGGAATAGGTTTATAACACCTATTGTTTACCATGTGTAAAGGGGGTAAGAGCGCGCTTGCTCAATGCGGGTTGGCGATTTCTAACTTCCAATTAGAAATTACAAGCCCAGGTTTCCTCACGATCGCGGGACGATCACCGGCCACCGTAGGTGCGGGTCTGCGGACGGTGAGCAAGGGTAGCTCGCCGCCCGACCAGAACCAGGCCCATGCGTACGGCGCGTCGCGTTCCGCGCGCGCCTCAAAGAGCCATCAGATCACCATAGATGGGGCCCAGTAGGGCTGATGCCCGATACGGAGCCGCGGAAGGCCTAGGCTCCGGCTTGAAGAGCAGGAGTAGAAACGGGGTGGTTTGTAGTGTAACACTCCCTCTCGCCAATCCAAGGCGGGAGAAGTCATTGGATGATTTCCCGCCTTTAAAAAAAAGTTTCCTCATGATGTTTTCCTTCACAGTTTGTCAGTGGTGTCTAAATAATATAAGTACCTAATTTGTAAAAAATAACTGAGACACCTCACATCACAATCAAAAATAATTTGTTTATTCTATATTCATTCAATTATTGTTTTCTCGAAATATTTCCCTAAGAGCAGTTTCATGGCGATCCAAATATAGGTTTCCAATAAATGAATTAGTCATAATATCGGCTGAATTACTCCCGACTCGAATGACTAAGACTTAGTATTGTTCGAACATTAGCAACAAAAGTCCTATATTTTGGAGTTATCCTAATTTGAAAAGGTAGGTTTTGCAACATACGCCTTTGTTTCATAGAGCTTGACAAACACTATAAGTGCCACTACGACTACTAACTGTCTAACGGATTATTTATCAATCAGTAGATAATTCTTATCTGTACAATAAAATTGACATTTGACAGTTTTTAGTATGGAAGAATTGTCATATATTCGGAGCTCAATATTAATAAAGCAAACGTTTTTCGGCAACAGACTTTTAACCTAGTAATGGATAACTATCGGGAAGTGAGTGTTACATTGAAAATGTACAATGGGGGACACATCTGCCTGACCACCATCAAGTCAATGTTTGCTTGCACCTGATGAAATAGCACCGCCCTACGACCTTGAATTTACGAACGAAACGGGATGGGGCTGGCGCCGGCGCAGGTACTTGAACAACACCTAACTAACTAGGGAATTACACGGTTTGCGTCATTTAGGTGCGACGTTATCGCTTTTCTATTAATTGAGACATTTATGCGGAGTGGCTTGATTTTTTGGCGGGTTCAAGCAATAAAATTTATAAATGATCAGGCATATCTGTCCACCACTGTACTGGTACACCTCTGCCTATGTTAAACTGATCTAATTATGCCATAATTTACGTCAGGAGACAGATCCTTATACATTTTACAATAGTTACATTTTGTTAGTCTAATCGACGTCTAGGTGGTCAGCTGTCAAAATGTCAGACATGTATAAATATTTAAATATGGCGTCAATATATTAATGTTTTATAATCTGTGGGTGCTTCACAGGTTGTCTGTTGTTACATTTTAATGCATTTTTTTTAATGTTATCTCTGGAATATAATGTTTTATTTATAGTTTTTTAGCGAATTTCAGTGACTTCTGCAATGATTTAGACAAGGAAATGAATAAAATTTTTGAATTGATTGAAAATGAGTAACCATGGAGTTTCTTGCTTGTTCTTCTCCATAGGAATCTACATTTTGCAACGAGCAAATGGGTTCAGCGAGGATTAAAAATGTTTTTATAATAACTATCGTGATACATACTAAATTAAGTAAAAACACGGGTTACTCACGTGAATATACTGAGAAAAGCTCTACTAGTTTCGAATCACAGAGGGGTTCTTCCTCATGAGCAGTGTGCGCGGTCTAATAGAGCTCTACTCAGTATATTCACGTGAGTAACCCGCGTTTTTACTTAATTTAGGGTTAAAAATGTTCAAATTGTTTCGATTAAATTAAATTTATATTCTTCATTGGTCCTCATTTCCTTATCTTTCTTCAGTCAAATCATATTGGTTTTTGAACACAAAGGATCAAAGGAATTCGATTGGATCTTCTATTGTACGATTTAAAGCGTGATTATTTTCGTTACCTACCATAAATATTGAACGTGATCAAAAGACCGAAATGCATAAAATAGGCCATAATCGTCTTTTATATAAAAAAACCTAAATATGATAAAATACTAACCATATCTTCTCTTGTCTTCCGCAGTACGGCAGCGATGAGTTCGGGCACGACTCCCCGAGCCGGTACGCGTCCCCCAAGGGGGCCGGCGCTGGAGCCCCGTACCAGGAGTACTACGCGGGCGGCGAATGGGGCGCGCCCTATTACCAGCCGCCGCCGGCCTACCAGCACGACCCCTATGCTACGTCGCCAGGTAAGCTGATAAAGCTTTTTTGAGTAATTTTAACTAACCTTCTTTCTCTGACTAATAGGTTCAAGCAGGGGGGGGGGGGTCAGAGTCACTATAAAATAAAGTGATGCATAATCCTCCAACAGCTTTGAGATTTTGACTAGGGTACATGTGTTAATGTGACCGTAGTAATAGGTATACCATACGAGACTAATCATTAATCAAGTATAACATTTGGTCATTTATACAACTTAAACTGGTCTTTCATGAAAGGTCTTTTTTTTTTTTTTTTTTATGCCATAAGCCGGTAAACGAGCAGACGGATCACCCGATGGCAAGCAATCGGCGTCGCCCATGGACATCTAGAACACCAGAGGCGTTACAAGTGCGTCACCGGCTTTTTGGGGATTAGGAGTTTGAGGATCGTTGGGGATTCAGGGATTGGGGAAATTGGGGAAGGGGAAGGTAATTGGGCCTCCGGTAACCTCACTCACACGACGAAACACAATGCAAGCGTTGCTTCACGTCGGTTTTCTGTGAGGCCGTGGTATCACTCCGGTCGAGCCGGCCCATTCGTGCCGAAGCATGGCTCTCCCACACTTGTCTTCTAAGAACAAGTAACATGAATGCTAGATCGTTGCATACTTTTCGCGACTAACATTTATTCTTACAACTTCTATTGACCAGTCTTTGAGAAGTGTTCTTATAATAATTGATTGTCTCTGAAATAGTCTTTAAGGACTTGGTCTTTTATAAACTAGTCGTTATACGAACCGGTCTACTCTGACCTAGTCTTTTATGCACTGGTTACCATGCAAATGGTCTTCTACATCCAGTCTTCTGCGATCTTCTTCAGTCATACCTTACACTTTATTTAATACCATGCCCTCCTGTTTCAGGTATAGCGGGTGCTCCGGTGGGCGAGGCGGGCGGCGGCGGGGCGGAGCTCCCCCTGCCCCCAATGTCCTCGTTCAGGGCGGCTGCGCCCCACCACTCGCCCACAGATCCCATGCTGGTTGCTAAGCCGCCTTTACAACCTGTAAGTTGGACTTTCCTTTTTTGGTATAAGCTAGCAGACGAGTCATTTGATGGTAAGCAATAGTCCCCGCTCATGGATACTCGCAATACGTCATCAGCCCGACATGAAATGGCGACCTACTGCTGAAATATTATGAGGCTCATCTACATAATATGAATAGTCTTAATCTCTACCACGTTTGACAAATAAATTAAAAATCGCACTTTAAAAGGTTCCGATGTATCAAAAATGCTGCTGCAGTGCTGTCCAGTACTATCTTATGGATTCTTACGACCTCCGCGGGAGGAGGAGCGATAATGATAATAGTACTCTCCTCTACCGTCGCCATTCTCTCTCTCTCACTCACTGTCTTCTTTTATTAAATTAAATATAATAATATTAATATCCACAGATGTACGGCGGCGCGAGCACGACTCCAGCAGTGGGTGCGGTGGGCGGCGCGGAGGCGGGGGGCAGCCTGTCATCGTACGGCTCATCCCCCTCCACCCCCGTGCACTCCCCCCCGCCCCTACACGCCCGTCTCTATCCCCCGCTCAAACATACCGCGCACCATCATCATCACCATAACGGACAGGTGGGGATTGCAGAATTTACTCAGCAAAACTTTTCAATATATGGTTTTTGCGACCACTGTTGACAACTAATTTAACGTTCTACCTGATGGTAAGCGGAGCTGAACACCAGGGGCATCATAATTCTCCAATTGGCTGCTGCGCAACATGTCCCGTGTTCGATTCCCTCATGGAACAACTCTGTGTCTCAGAACAAATTGTTGTCTGAGTGCTACAAATGGTTCTTCCGAATCTGGGTGTGATGTGCATGCTAAATTCTGTTTGTAAACGCACCAACAACAACGAAACATCTTAGTAACCCCCCTTACCTCCCATTCCAGCAATCAAACTGGGTATCATCAGGGGTGTCGTCCCCTCCGTCGGCGTCGACCCCCCACGCCCTGGCGGCGCCCGTCCTACCCAACGGCCATCACGCGCCGATGCCCGTGTTCCAGCCCACTGGAATGGTGAGTACCGTTCTGCCCAGACGATTTTATAAATGTTGGAGTGATAGTATTGTGGTTATGTGGAATTTAGTTTCATTATTAGAGGTTTAAAGTGTTAAAACACATTTATTTTTTGTGCTGGGGGCGTTTAGAGCTTAAGAATCCGTACCACTCTGTATAAGCAATGTTTATTTAATTGAAGTAACTTAGCGCTGGTTTTTTTTAGTATACTTTAACTGAACAGTTGGCGCGGTGGCTGGGCAACTGGCTGCCGCGCAACGTGTAGTGGATTCAATTCCGTGTGATCCACAAATTGTTGTTTTGGGTCTGGGTGTCATTGTGTATGTGAACTTGTATGTTTGTAAACGCACACACGACACAGGAGAAAATCTTAATGTGGGGCAACGTTTAAAAAAAAGAAAATAAAATAGGATAATGTATTTTTTTTCCGTATTAAATATCAACAGAGAGAATTAAAATTCTCAAACAAACCAACAGCATAATCGCAATTATTTATTTAAACTACAATTTAAACTTAAACTCAACATAACCACAATATCTTCACCCCACTGTAAATGAGATCCCCGTACATACACTTGCGAGCAAATAGACGGAACCACTAGCATTTTTTCTTTTTAATTTCTTGATAAATATTTACTGACACAAGTATTTTATTAATTGGTAACGTATGTCGTATATAAGACAAATTAGTTACCTTTAAAATGAGAGTATTTTGTTGTAAAAGGAGTATTTTTTTAAAGCTATAATAGGGTTCGATATAATAAAAAAAACAACGCTAATGATTCCGTTTCATTGCTCCCAAGTGTTTATTATATTGATCGATACAAGACTTGCCTGCTCGACCTTTAGCCAGCATTTTACAATAGCGCGAACAAATCTATGGAGAAGGAAGTTAGTAGTCCCATATACATATAATTATATAATGATATATAATACATGATACACTTGGAATTTCATGAATATTATGGTCACTTTTATCTGTTGTCAAAATGTTTATTTAATTTTAAAATAAGTGATATATTTAACATTTTAGAACGCAATTATAATGCCGCTTGCTTTTCGGAATTAAATCTAATGTTGCAACAAAAAAAAAAACAATATATAGTACTAAAAGTCACTTCTATGATTCAGCTGTTTAAGAGTTCACCAAAGACAAATAATGTTTATTTTTTCGCTTACTCCTAAAACCAATCACAATGTAAATTTAATATCAATCAAATAAAATCTCAATAATGTATGTACCCATGTTTGCAAATGATTAAATGAATATGAATATGAATTTATTATTCAATGTTACTATACAACTTAGCTTCACTAACAATCCAAATTGACGTTTTAAAAGTGTCTAATCAAGGATTAATTGAAATATTCGTAACTGTTAAAATAGCATTCAGAGTACGGAATATAAAGTCAAACTCAATACCATTTGGTTCATTCAATATCCGCGCAAAACGTATGCAATGGGCGCTAGTGTTTCACCTCAAGAGCTTTTTTCATTTTTGTCTTTGACGGTTCGAAATAACAAAATACCGAAATTCCACAATATAAATGTCCTTCGATTGGAATTGGAGTCAAGAGTAAGTCCACAGTTATGAGACTATTTGTTACAAATAGCTATCTATATAAAACAATTTGACAACAGATCAATTTGACCAGTATCACGAATTAGTAAAATAATTGCCATCTTTGACAATTGTACTCTAAGCATGTTTCCCTATCGCATGAATGTTACTAATTTTACAATTTCCCCGTAATTTTTGATTTTGTTCATAAACAATTTTGAAGCTTTGAAGTTTTTCTTTTTTTTTTTTTGTTTCCGAATTAATATTTTCGAAATGTAATACGAACAACAATCAGATTAAAAATAACAAAGTCGATTTTAGAATGATATAGTTTGACATTGACATGTGTAACATGGTGTTGCCAGTTTAAATAAATGTTCGTAATACATTTTTTGTGTAAATTTTTGTGTTTTATGTTGTGTTTAATAGCGAGGAGTGAGGACTAGCCATAGACTTGAGTTTTTTTTGTACAGTGTGTAGTTTTGTAGATTTTTGAAACAAAAACCTTAGTGTGCATTTTTTGGTAGATTTTTCGATTGGCTGTTGAATGAATTGTTGGTTTCTTAGATAAATAAGAGATTATTAATATGTCCAATGTCCCCTGTATTACGCGATTTTAGAATTCGCTTTTATATGTATGTCCTTTTAAATCAAATCAAATCATGTTTATTTGCTCAAACACAATACAATAAACAATAGCAAAATAAAGTTAAATATTTGCGAATTTTCTTCTCATGCGTGTAATCCACGTTTCACTTGTCCAAAAGTAACTAAAAGTCACAACATTTGTGTTAAAAGCACCAATTAAAACATTGTTGTAACAATTCTATTTCGCGTACCCCCTCCCCTTTAATGATTCCACTTAGCGGGCCCTCCTCTAGTTTAAAAGCCTAGTTTTTAATCCTGTCGAAGTTCCTTAATTTAGGAACCTTCAAATGTAAAGCCTGGTTAACTAACAAACAGCAATACATCGCTGAATTACGAAAAGCCCTTCCCCCTTACCCCCCCTCTCTCTCGTGTCTGTGGCCTGTCCCCGCCCCCCGCTGACCGTGGCTTGGTTAGGGCGCGCCGGCGGAGCAGAGACAACTGGACGAGGCGATGGTGTTCCTACGAGACCATACCGACTGTGTAAGTAATTTATAAGTGCTAAACCAACACTTATTGCGCTGTGGGTTTACAAAAATGGAGCATTTTTCGGGATTTCTTAGACGTTTCCCGGGATTTTTTCGATGTTTGTCGGGACTTTGTGATGTTTATCTGGATAATGTAACGAATGATGCCTTACACCTCAAATAAATGGCTTCAGTCCAAACGGTTGTACGTTTCTTGAAGTAAACACTGTTCTAAAAGTAATAATAATTCCCATTATACTAAATTTCTCCATTTAAATCCCATTTTAACCGAAAAAACATTTTTTCTGACAATTTCTGTCAACTCAAATAAATCGATGCCTACTGTATTTTATTATAAATCCACAGCGCATAAGCTCCAAAATATTGCTTATTACATTAAAAAATCTATTTACATTTCTGCTAGAAAGAGACAAACACATTTCACGCAAAGAAAACTAAAACAAACTAAAATATATCTGTCTCGTTCTAGCAAATGTATATATATTCTTATATAGTGTGTACATATGTATGATATTTTTATAGTTTTGTGTATTTGCCGTGGCATGGTTTTACTGTATAATATTTTTTGCTTTTGTAGTGTGTTTTTATAAATAATATTTAGTAATTATTATAGTTCATGTTTAAATGTGACTGATGTTCCCTATTTAGCGATAAATATATTAAGTACCTGCATTTAGACTTGTCCCTCTTGTAATTAGCTATCCCAATTCTAGTCTTTAGATATCTCCCAAATTTATATTATATAATTGTGTTGCAACTTAAATGTTGCGCAATATCGTGTTGCTAGTATAAAAAATTGCGCAATAATGTTATAATGAAAAAAGATTGAAATAAATTCTAAATAAATACTATATTTCATTAGAAAATTAATGATAAATAGTTTAGCCGGATAAATATGGTGAATTTAGCGCCCTAATGGCAACCTACAACGAAATTGGCATTATATGTCAAATAAATATAGGACTAAATCTGGCAGCTGTAGCCAAATGCCATTTAGCGCTTGTCTACATGTAGATTAGATAACCAAATTATATGGGATTGACGTAAATTTTGACACTTGTCAGTGTCATCCCCATACATTTAGTTTTCTACTCTCTCTGTAGACAAGCGCTAAAGTGGCGTTTGGCTAAAGGCACTGAGCCGTATTATCCCTAAGGCAAACTAGACAAGTGCGTAGAGCGCCAGGTTACAGGCGCCTGAGACGCGCGTGCCTAACTGGCCATTGAGGCCAAAAAAATTGGGGCGCCTATGGGGTGTCTGCCTAGCGCACTCTCCACGTTTACTCTGCCGGATTAAATCTTTTACTTTATACAATTTCATAGGCAATGCGAAAATATTATACAAAATCTGGCTATAATATACTGTATATTATAAGTAGTATATGTATAATTAAGACGCAGTAAAGTGAGTGTATATATATATATGCAGGGTGCTCGCATGGAGGAGCGGCTGGACGACGCCATCAACGTGCTTCGCAACCACGCGGAGGCGCCCGACCTTTACCCACAGGACCTGCATCATCAGCCACCAGGTAAGGGGGGAGAGGGGTGATTTCTTCATCAATCTATATCCACTCACTGATTAGTGAGTCTCCTTCAAATCTTGCCATATATTGCTAGCAGACGTATACTTTATAGTCACACTCAACTTATTCCTAATTAGGTATACCTTTACCTAGTTATTTTTTATGGAATAAGCCGGTAAACGAGCAGACGCATCACCTAATGGTAAGCAATCGGCGTCGCCCATGGATACCCGAAACACCAAAAATGTTACAAGTGTGTTACGAATCTTTTTGGGATTAGGAATTTGAGGATTGTTGGGGATTGGGGAGGTGGGTAACTGGGCCTCCGGTAACCTCACTCACACGATGAAACCGGCCGAGCCGGCCCATTTGTGCTGAAGCATGGCTCTCCCACACTTATACAATATACATGTACATATTATTATATGTATCGGCAACAAGCCCACATTTTACTTTCAATACTTTCTATAGATTTAAGGCACCTTTATTCAACCGGCGGCCCACTTGGGGTTTCTATGCTCAGTTCTATTTTAAATTTCGTGCCTATAAGAGAACGAGTGATTCGGGGGTCAGAGTTAAAAGACTAAAAACTAAATCCTATGACTGAAACGTATTTTTGGCCCTAGTAAAAAAACCTTGGAGTATGGCTGGCTTAAGAATCCAGATATATATTGATAGTCACTCCTGATCGATTTCAATGACGGTGACCACCTAGACCAGCCCACTATGTAGAATAGATTATAGTGCACGCACAAGTATTTGCGCAAATACAGGTGCACTGTCACCTCGACAAGCATTCCAACATGTGTTTAATTAATACTATGTCTCCGTACAGCGGCAGTATCCCGGCTGGGAGTGGGCGGCGCGCTGCTGCAGTCCGAGCCGCCCGTCAAGATGGAGCGCCACGTACTGCCCAATACTAGTTAGTATACAGATGTTTATCAATTTTATGTGATAAGGCGGTAAACGACCCGACGGATCACCTGATGGTAAGCAATTATTGGCCTCGCCCATGGATACCAGAGGAGACCACCGATACAAATGCGTTACCAGCCTTTGGAGATTAGGGATTTGAGGATTTTTGGGGATTCTGGGATTGGGGTAGGTAATTTGGCCTCCGGTAACCTCAATCACACGACGAAACAGAACGGAAGCGTTCTTTCACTATGATTTTCTGCTTGGCCGTGGTGTAGCTCTGGTTGAGCCGGCCCATTCGTGCCGTAGCATGGATTTCCACTTGATCTTTTACCTGTCTGTACAAAGTTATATTTAATACTAGCGACCCGCCCCGGCTTCGCACGGGTGCAATATGTATATACATACAAACCTTCCTTAAGAATCACTCTATCTATTAAAAAAAACCGCATCAAAATCCGTTGCGTAGTTTTAAAGATCTGAGCATACATACGGACATACAGCGAAAGCGACTTTGTTTTATACTATGTATTGATATAAATAAACTTAAATTCGGGGAACAAATCACTAACACAATCTGCGAATGTGGTTAACAGCTTACTTACGATTTACGAAACTGTTTGACGAAGTAACTTGACTAGCTTTGAACCACGCTATGGACTCATATTTTATGAGTCGGCTGCACGACGTTCACCGCGTTGTGTATGCGGCTCATGAAGTTAAGCTTAAAACTAATAAAGAAAGTTTTAAAACGAATATAGTATCACGCCTTTTATCCCCGAAGACAGCCACTGTACAATATGACACCCACCTTTCACAATTTATCTTATAAGTCCCATGTAATAGGGTGTGAACCTATTGCCATATACCGGGCACAACTCCAGACTTAGTGCTACGACTAAGATTTTAAAACGAAGTTAAGAATATTTTGTTTGGTTATCAAAACTGACCTCCACTCTCCACCCTTGTAGAGAAACGCAAAGAGCCCCCGGACTCAGGCGTGGAATCGAAGCCGTCGTCGTCAGGGTCAGCGGACGCGCTCGCGAACAAACCGCCGAACAGCAAACGTTCGAGGCGATAGTGAGTATTTTAATTATTACATAGTATTTTGTATTTATTGTTGAAAGTTGGGTTGAGACAATAATTTTCCCTGTTCATTTTTTTAAACGTCATCCCACACTAGGATTTTCTCCTATCGTGGATGCGTTTATAAACATAATTTCACACACATCCACCCGCACGAAACAATTCTTTGTGTGATCCACAGATTGTTGTTCCGGGTCTGGGTGTCATGTGTATGTGAACTTGTATGTTTAAACGCATCCACGACACAGGAGAAAATCCTAGTGTGCGGCAAAATGTTTGCATAGATTGCAGAAAAATTGTAAAAATAAAAGAAAATCTTGTTGACTTTTAATTTCGCGTGTTGCATTGGAATATTGCGCAACATGCAACGTGCAACAAATGCATTCTTTTTTAACTTTCATAATGAATTAGGGGAATTTTTATCTCATCTTTTAAGTGAAATGTGTATTTGACGAGAATCTATATAACAAACTTCTTATAAGACAGCATTTAATTCAAAATTAACTGTTTTTAAAAGAAATCACGATAAATACATATTTGGAAACTTGGCGGTATTATCTTATACTGCTGTGACGTCAGAATTGACAATAATAGTGGATGGATGAATATGGCAATACTATAGCTAGTTCAGTGCTAAATAATACAGTACTACATCTATATAACTTTATAAATACACTTCCCGAAGGAACGCAACTATGAGTAATATATTTTGATATAATAAAACTTTTTTCTTTTTCTATATACTAAATGGATAAGCAACTATCTTTATATGTTGGCATTTTATTAATTGCACAACTTAAAAAGTTCATAATATATATATTTTTATATTTTTTATTTTACACATTTTTTGAGCATAATGACTGGCCATGGTGCTGCCATCTATACTTAGTTTATGAAAGTATTTAGTTAAGATTGTTCTAACATTTGAGATGTCTACTTGCATCACTTATTTTAGATTAATCTAATAGTTTTATATAAACTAGTCGATGGTATACTCTATTTACATGGCAATCATTGTTCTATCTAATGGAAAAGAGGTCGCACGTATTCTATGCACTCATTGTTTTCTTTTTGCAAATAGAAGTTGAAATATTTTGTTTTTATATTGTCTAATACTTAATAAATAGAGTATAAAAGTAATTGTAGATGATATCAAAATAAATTATATATTTTATTTTCTGTAAATTGTACATCACTGAATACTATAATAGTAAATCAACATATTCATCTACAATTACACTACAAATCGACTAGATTGTACTGACAGTCGTACAAATCTATTTTCCCAATATTTTCACGGTAAAAAACCCATTCCCAATACAAAAGTCAGTAACAGTCACAAAATGTCATAAGAGTCATATATAAGTGGCTCCTATTATTCTTTCAATGCCATAAGAGTCATATATACGTGACTCCTATGACTCAGATGTCATAACAGTTACATAAGTGACTCCTATGACTTTGTATATGCCATAAGAGCCATATATACGTGACTCCTATGACTCTGTAAATGCCATAAGAGCCATATATACGTGACTCCTATGACTCTGTAAATGCCATAAGAGTAATATATAAGTGACTGTTATGACTCTATAAATGTGTAAGAGTTAAATAAGTGATACAAGTGGATCCTCTCAAAGCTCGACCAACCCTGCAATGCCCAGCTGTTCGTCTGCTGATGAAGATGATATGGACCCTGACACGAAGGCGGCGCGAGAGAGAGAGAGGCGACAGGCTAACAATGTTAGAGAGAGGTGCGGTTTGTTATCATTGGCAATTGTTGTGCGCTGTCAATTGTTTTCTAAATATAATTATCTACGTTTCTACGTATTCAGAAGTGAACTGTAATGTTCTTTACTCATATAGCGCCACTATGGTCGCATAAGACATTACTCGAGGTTTAACTGTCATTTTTGACACAAAAGTTTTGTCAAAAACTTATGATTTTTAACATTTTAAACCTGATTCACATAGCCAGGATGATCAAGTATCTGTAACCTGATATACAATATGTTTTAAATTAAAAAATATGTTTCATTTTGTCTCGTATGATATAGTGAGATAGTGGTCAAACGTCGGCCCGTCAAATACATAGAACATAAAAAAATGAATTGGCAGCGCATAACTTTTCCTTTTTATTTTTATTCGAATACACTTTGCTTTAATTCCTGAAATAATTATAAATATCTCCTTTTTATGATTATTTTGGGATTTAAAATTATATTTTCATCGAAAGACAAATATAATAATCTCAATTTTTTTATAAATATTACATATTTACTTTACAAATTATAACTATCGTGAAACATACGAAATTAACTAAAAACCGCGGGTTACTCACTGCGAAAAGCTCTACTAGTTTCGAACCACAGAGGGGTTCTTACTTATGAGCAGCGTGCGCGGTCGCGGCGATGTCGGCAGCCTACTGTCAGTAGGCCGCGTAGGAGTAACCCGCGATTTTTAGTATAGTATATAGTATATTTGTCTTTCGTCCTATATACTTTACATGGACATTCACATAAGCTTTATGTATGTACATTGGTAAACACATATCACTGGCTATATTTTTTTCTATTCTCAAAATTTTCAATCTCAAAAGAAACAGCCAAATCAAGGTACACAAGTTTTAAATGCAATTTGGAAAATCCTGTAAGTTATTCCACTGCTGGAAGAAGTCCTCTTCTCGTATGAAAAAAGAATAAAGCTTTATCATCAAAAGCTCAAGGCTGATTTTAAACATATATATATATACCTACATAATATGTGTTTGTTTGCCATCACGTACATAAGAGCCGGGTTCTTACTTGACCGAAATATCTGATTACATTTAATATTAACTTTAAAAATTAAAGCTTCATGATATATGATCTAAAACTTTCCTAAGAATAAATCTATTCTCTAGTAGAACTTCTAACAAGTTTTTCTGATTATTATTATTATAAAACCAATCTTAAACACTTGTCTGTAGTGTTGAAATTGCTTTACCTCATCGATAATGTTCTTAAATATTTCGGTCCTACACACACATACATGTCACGGTCTATATAGAGGTACATACATATATATAATATATATCTGTACATAAAATACTAACATTGTGTTATAGTTTCAGCACGCCATCCTAACTGGGTCACAGTGTGTACAATGTCTATTTTATACCTTATTTTTCTTTTATTATATAGTTCATTTTTGTGTGGCACTCCTAGGTAGGCGAGAGGTAAGTTTTTGTAGTTTATAAATGTCCTTTTTACAGAAATTTCCGTATTATTGTGGTTTTTAATAATATATTTAGTTTACATTGGTTCATAGTGATGTTAATGGTCTGAATAAAATATATTGATATCAAATATTAATTTTACTACATACTTCAAACATGTTAACATTAATGTTGCAATCGTATCCTAATTATTTAAATTGAAATACATAGTTATACCAGTTACTTCAGGTACAACGCCATCTAGTAGTGATAGTTATAAACTAAGTAGTAAGTAGAGTTACAAAATTAAATTTTATATTACACTTTTGCTAAGAAAGAAAGTAGTTATGTGTTGACTTTATAAGTCAAGAATATAATTTAGTAAATAATAATTATGTTGGGAACGCATGGAACCATTTCCGATACCCGGGTATGGTTACTATATGGTATACTAGCTTTTACCCGCGGCTTCGTTCGCGTCACAAAAGGATAAAAAGTAGCCTATGTGACATATACCAATACACACAGCGCCGTCTATACCAATACTTTTGTTTTCCTTCGAGAATATCATTTTTTTCCGGGATAAAAAGTACCCTATTATTTAATCCGGACTTCTAACTTTACGACTGCAAAAATTCAAAGCAATCGGTTTAGTAGTTACGGCGTGAAAGCGAAACAAACAAACAAACAAATTCACTTTCCGATTTATAATATTAATAAGGGTATTTGGCGTTTGCCTATGGAAAGGTGATTTAGTAAAGTCAGTGATTTATAATTAGACGTGTGAGAATTCCACCATCTTTTCGGTTAGTATATCGATTGGAAACGACCCGCCCCGGCTTCGCACTGGTGCAATATACATGTATTATACATATAAACCCTCCTTAAGAATCACTCTATCCATTATACAAAACCGCATCAAAATCCGTTGCGTAGTTTTGAAGATCTGAGCATACATAGGGACAGACAGGTGGCGGATAGCGACTTTGTTTTATACTATGTAGTGATGACCTTAAACTCCTTTTATTAGTAAAAGTAATTTACTTTTAAAAATCAACTTTGCCTTTATATATTATTCTAGAAACAAAATACCTAAGTCTTGATCATCATTCATCATTCGTTAATATTAACAAATCATTCAATCATTCGCTTTATTAATCGGTTGTAGGACACGCTTTATATGGGCACACTTGAGCTTGTTAAATACATATACTTATAATATACATTACATTTTTTATATTATCACTTTGAGATATACTAAATTTATTATTGTGTTTTTCGGCTTACTCACGTACGTGTCGTGTGTCGGAATGCTGCTCATCAATGTAAGTCTCTAGCATGAGAACCTAACGGGTTGCCGAGGCTCCGGCTCCGCGCAGGAGAAGGAACAGGGTGGTTTTTAGTCATTAAGAGGCTGATACTCCCTCCCGCCTCACCCAGACGCGTGCAGTCATTCGATGATTTTTACTCGCTTTAAAAAAAGCATAGCTTGATACTAGTCAACATTTCAACTAGTCGAGTTCCTTGTCAAACATTATATATTTGTTATTTTTACCGTATTGAGTACAATTAGTCAAGTTTTCTTTCATAATATTATAGAGGTATATTACAGCTTACAAAATACAGACTTACAAGTACAGTAAAACAATCTACAGAAATTATCTAGAATGAGCATTGATTCAAATTAAAGTTTTTCTCGCTAAACATAGTTATTTTTTTAAGTAAACAAACCTTTGAAATACTTACACAAAACCATAGATATTTAAACACTTAAAACTACTTTAAAAAACACAGTTCTTAATTAATCTTAGTTCATCAATCATATTTTATTTTTGGGCTATTTTGTAAATATTCGCTGCAAAATCATTCACTGACTGACTCATTCATTTGTTCACATCATTCGTTCTTTACTTCACTCAAGCTCAAGTGTGTTCGTTAATATAGATATATTTACGCTAGCTATAAGTAAACAGGGTCAGCAGAACTCTCTCCCGCGCTGCCGACGTGTTCCAGGCACTGGGTATTTGTAATTTTTATATATTTTTAAATTATTAGTTGTTAGTAAAATAGATACGAAAGCAGGTTGGTGTAGTTTTGTTTGTCTGGAGACGATGGAAATTTTACTGTATCTTGATATCAAAAAGTATGATTAAAATACAATAAGTTAAAATTTTCTTCTCAATACCAATTAAATATCCAAGAGAGAAAGTAATTACATAATGTCAAAAATGATCTTATCTATTTAAATACAATGCTAATTATAGGGCATATTTCCTCAATTTCACGAGAAATCTTAAAAACGAATAACCGAATACAAACTCAAACATTTTACATATAAAAAATCCCTAAAAATAATATAAATAAATAGCACATTTTTATCGTCTCCAAACACCAAACTTAGCTACAAATAGTACATAAATATACCTACATAAAACCTCAAGTCTAACCCACACATCTGGGTGATAGTTGTTCCTCCGCGGACGAAGGGGACGACGAGGCGGACCCACAGGCCAAGGCGCTCAGAGAGAAAGAGAGGCGGCAGGCCAACAACGCGAGAGAAAGGTAAGAGAGTAAAATAGGCTGAGTTTGAGTTAGAAAGTGAGTGTGGCTGAGTTCGAGTATTAGTGTAGTAGTAAGGCAGGTTTGTTTGAAATGTCAAAAGAGAGTTGGGGTAAACAAATATTGTTTTATTGTACTGTGGTATGTTATTTGATACTTCTAGACGAGAATAGAGAAGTAAAATTCCGAATGATATAGATTTGTAATATAAAAGTGTTTCATAAATCAAAATCATTAATGAGAAGTAGTTAGTATTATTTCAAAACTATTTTGTAGGCACATATTTAGTTTAGGTATTAATTCATTTTGAAATACATTACCTTCAAACATTATGAAATGATATAATTAAATAATATATAATTTATGTATTTAAAATCCTTTATTTTTAATTTTCTATTAGAATAGATGTAGATTAAAATGTTTTACGTTTATAAACTAATTTTGTGAATAACCCCCTATTTTATTTCAGGATATTTACACACTGTGACCCATGTAGAATGTTTTATTATTTATATCATGCAATGCGCTGAAATTATACACATATTATTATTTATATACAAGTTAGCGTGTAGATATTAAGTTCTAGTATCTATAATAATTTCCAACTGCATTATATCGCAATACGGTTGAATATTTTTAAACAGCTTAAAGTTACGTTTTTCAGACGTTTGTATTCAAATATACTTCTATTCTAAGATATTATAAAATAGTTTATTAACACTTAATATACACACGCCATTATATAAACACATAAAGGATTTTTTTACATGTAACACTAATAACCCTGCCTACCCCCTCAGGATAAGAATACGAGATATAAACGAGGCGCTAAAGGAGCTCGGCAGAATGTGTATGACTCATTTGAAGAGTGACAAGCCACAGACCAAGCTTGGTATACTCAATATGGCGGTGGAAGTCATTATGACGCTTGAACAACAAGTCAGAGGTGAGTAGTAGTGACTGGGCTGAGTGTAGATGAGTTTTTGTTTTATTTCAAATAAATTGTTGTGAATGAGATGCATATTATGTGTACTACCTAAAACAGCCCAAGTGGTCTAGGATAACTGCTTAAATCGCTCTTGGGCCTAGCAAAGTATTGTTAAGTAATTCGATTGCAAAATTATCGTTTATTTAACCTAGAGTTCTTACTGATCTCTAAGATTAAGTATGAGATTTCCTTTATGGCAGCTTCCATTATTTTTAGTGACTATAATATGAATTTCTTTAATCTTCAGAACGCAACTTGAACCCGAAGGCAGCGTGTTTGAAGCGACGCGAAGAAGAGAAGGCGGAAGAAGCGCCCAAGTTGCTGCCTGCACCCCTACAGCACTACCAACCCATGCCGGTCAGTTGGCCCAATACCTTACAGTATAACGTTTATTTCCCTCTGAAAACAAATTTCATAAATCTTGTAACTGACCAAATATAAAGTAATAGTATAAACAGAAACTTGCAAAAATCTTCAAGGAAACCAGAAACCGTCAGCTTTGTAGTTGTTGTGTCGCTGATGTGTCGGGTATAAGTCAAGCGGCGCTGATCGCTTACAGTTATGTGACCAGTCTACTCGTTACCCCCTATCTCAATTAATATAGTATGCACATATCTATTCTTTACTGATTAGAAAAATTAACAGTTAAATATGTTGTAAAGTATTTATAACTACTATTAGTTGTTCATTTTGTTTTATTCTTACTGTATATTACGCAAGCCTATTTTCGATGAATTTCTACTTAACCCAAAAGTTTACTGGGAGAAAGTACCATAAAGCATGAAGTCCGCCGTATATACCTTATTTTTGTGTGTTTAAAGAGTATAAATATATATTTTTTGATTTTTTTTATAGGGCATGGGTCAATTGCCAGGCCAACCACCCACAGGCGGCCCCCCTCCGCAATAGCGACGCGCTGCGCGCTAACTACGCACTGCGACAGCTCCGAACCCGGGACTCTGTCGGCATCAGCCCAAGGAACACGCGATAAAACTCACATAGAGTGAGTTTGGATGAGTTGAGATTGAGTAACATGTGAGTTGGGTTGAAATATGTTGAAGGTTAATAAAAAAGATATTGGACTGTAATTTTTGTATTTTATTTACTGTGGCTTTTACAGAAATAGTATACTATAGTATCAATATTAATATTGTACAGTTTGATGTTTAAAACATTCGCTACCACTAACAAAATGATTATGATGATTTAAATTCAATTATTGTATAAAAAGATCTGAATCTTGCATGGAGATATGCATGGGAATGAAGTGTATTTATTTCTAAATTAATAGGTAACTTGGACATCAACTGTGTATTACACCAAATAAAATGTCCTAATAGATCTGTTAAAGTTTTCTGTAGTCTTTAACTGACATATAATCTGACATAATTTCCATAATTACGGATATATGTCAAATATTTGTCAAGTTAAGCTAATGAAAACTTAATCAGGTGTAATGAAACATGTTTCAATGTTAATTACTCAATGTTACTCAATCGTTAACAAAGAAATGATAGGATGTTAAAATAAAAGGACTGTTTGTTAACAAACGCGTGTAAACCAAATTTTATTGCATTTTAATCATAATAATTATTATTTCTTCGACCCTGTTGATCAGGAATGGGCCACTGTCTTACCAATAAGACGCCATAATGTTTTTAAGTTTAATTCTAATGAATAAGTACACACTTTTAATAATTTCATATTTTTAATGAAAAATTCAATGTTTTTCGTACCCAGTGACTGTGATTTGGTGTTAAAAATACCGTTTTTTTTTTCTGTTTTGTCATATTTTTATTATTCTTTCTATTTGTAAATGAATCTTTCGTCTTTTTCGGGTGACCTTTGGTCCATTTACAAATACAATTTCTAATGTAATTTTTCTCAGCAATGTAACCCAGTTTTATTTTTCTATTTGAATTATAATTTTCTATTTCAACTCACAAATTAAAACCACCGGCAGTTACACAACAAAAATACTTGTACCTACCCATTTTATACTCTGGCAACATCAGAGTCCGCCTTATCTATGGGTAACACTGTCGTGTGTCGTCAAGAAGCGGTAATTTTAGCACCAAACTCGACTTAAATACACGACAAATGAGTTCCAAAGATATTTTAACTGACAAATATTAACAAACGGTTAACAGCAGTGCGTAGTGCAAATTTCCGGACTCTGTAGTTGATAAGTGTGTATATTATTAGTTATAGAAATAGTTTTATATAAAAACTTAAACATCAGACGAAAAATACTATGTCTTGTATCCAAAGACATAATGTGTATAAAATATTAACTTAGCATATATAGATATATGATAGGTATAAATCAAATAAGAAAAAAACATATTTTTAATTACTTTTTGATTTTAATTCGTACTCTTTCGCTGCCATAGACACCACTACCGCTTTATATTGAGTTTTGAAAAGCTAGACAATAAATGTTTGTTCGTTTTACCATCCTCATATCATAAACAAGTGGTGTATTAATCGAATTCTTCGTAAAATTGTAGACTTTTGATATAAAAAAATATGATTCTGCTCGATGTTTAACAACTTATGAAAATAGTACTTATTGTAATATAGAAAATGTGTTTTCTTTAATCAAAATATAATTAATAAAGTCTACAGTTTTACGAAAAATGTAAGTATTGTAATAAAATATGGCTGCTAACTTATAAAAGTACTTAAATCGACGTCTGTACTAAAACTCCAGTGACAATTGACATTTTTGACATTCATCGTTACGTATATTTTGACATGCCACACCGTGAGATCTACGTAATATAGTACGTACATTTTTTATTATAAAAATATTAAGAAAATAATAACTTTGTTCTCTTTTTATTTTTCTTTTTTTAAGAATATTTTTCGGTAGCTATTTCGCTGAGAGATTGTCGCGTACTTATGCAGGTTTTTTTTGTATAAGTTACATCAATTTTAATTTTTATATATATTTGTTATTTTTCTATATAATTTTTTTTGTTTATATAAAACTTTATATTTGGTATTTTTTTCTTCTGTTTTTACGAAATGAATACCAAATGATATCGTTTCTTCTTTTGGAAATTGATTTTTCAGACTTGTGAAAATGAAATCAGATTCTTTATTTAATACGAAATAAAGACAAATCTAATTTTGACATAATAATTATAAAACAAGGTAATGTAAATGAAAAATCTAAATATCAAAATTCCATTTTGTATATATTACAAAAAAGTATATTTTACAAAAAGTCCGCTCAATGACTTAAATAATTCGAAACTGACATAATTTTGAACTAAATTATTATTTTATTTGTTATTTCATGACATTTTTCTATTATTTTTCGAAACAACTATCATACGTACTGTCACAGTTACTTAGGTAACGCGTATAGTATAATATCTTAAGTTGTTTCGACTATGTCGGGTTTTAGTCGAATTTTTTAGTCAGTTGACTAGATGACATCGACTATTTAAATAAATAATAAAAAGAGAGAGATTTTAACCCAGTTCTTTTAGAAAATTTGATTATTTTTGCGCAACTGTTGCGCAAATTCTGCTCATAATTTGCGTAATGTCATCTAGTCTAATTTTCTTCTAAATTCGGCATTAAAAATACATTGTAATTGGATTATTATTAAAATTCGGGATTATAATGATATTTCAATTGCAATGTACCTGCTTATACCCGACTCAAATCTATCCATTTTTAGTTATTAGTCCTAACTACATAGTACTCTGTATTATATAGGTTTAAGGTTGATTTTCCCTTGAATCATGGATCGTGTATATTTTGGGGAAAGAAATCTAATTCAACTATAATTTTGATAGTAAACTGTGGTTTAAAGTATGAAATATCTCAATATTCTCACTCTTTAAACGATAATTACAATTAAATTAGATTTCTTTTTGATAATTCCAAACACAATAAATTGATTATTATGATTTTAATTAATCAGAAGCTTATTAGTTTCTGAAATATTGAACAATATTAATTTTTAAAGTGCATAAAACATACTCTTAGTTTATTACATCAGTATCGATTTCAGTGATTAAAATATTTTCGAAATTTAGTTCAGTTTTTCAGAAACTAAAAGTTAATCAATAAAGTATCTCATGCTGGCCATAATAAAATATATGTAACTGCTTACTTTTGCAAACCGCCATTTTTAATTTACAATTTTAAAAATAATTGCTCATTTATATCTTTGGTTGCGTTAAAAATGGCTTTTAAAATGAAATACCGAATTATTTCTCTCTATATATGTGTAATATGAAGTATTTTATTATATAAATGTAATAAACACTGATTATTTTAATTGTGTAAAATGTTTTTTGACAAATATATAATCTAATTGAAGATATTATAATGTATAAGTTGTTTCGATATAGAAAACTGTTCGGGCTTAATTATGTATGTTCTTTGATTAATGATTATATATTTGTCAATAAACTATATATAATTTGACTCAATAACTCAAACTCAGACGATCTTGCAACATTTGAAAATATAATTTTTAGTATCGTACCTTAGTTTCTAAGCCTGTCGACCTTTAGTTTAGTTTAGTTGATCCTCTTCCATTTTGTAATAATTAAGTTTTTTATTATTATTAATTATCTATAATTTGTTGTCTATGCGTACTGTATAAGTCTATTTTAAGATTTTTTTAATATGTACGCATTCGCCCGTAATTTATTTGCAACTGGTCGTCTTATGAATGGTTCAAATTATTAGACATTGCCATAATCCTGGAGATTGTGTACAAAATGAGGCTTTTTTGTTATTTTATTTTTGTTTTTGTCAATGGCAACCCCAGCAGCCTATGTAACATAGAGCATTTGTTTCCTTTTCCTGTTCAAATGCATAGATTAAAATATAACTACAAGAAAGGTCTAATTATAAAAATGAATAATATTAATTAAATATAAATGTGCCATTCATTTTGCTAATTTTGTGTTTTATTTTACCTTTTTGAAAAATATTAAATAACATTTTCGTCCAATGGTTATGGAACCACAGAGCACCACCTATAACGATCTATACATACTTTTGGTTCCTTCACATTCATACAACAAAATTTTTAAACAACAACTTACACTTTACATAAATAATAAGTACCTGGATGACCGAGGTTTGTTCGGTGTATTTTTTTTTTAGTAAACAACAACTTCTGTAAATGAGACCTAGCTAGATCCGAACCTAGCCCCCGAAAATACCTAAATGTTTCATGAAAATCGTAGCTGATTCCGAGCTCGTTGATTATATATGGTGATTCGACGTATTCCTCTCGGGAGGTGATAATACAACTCCTACAGAATTAGCCCTGAGGTCTCTAGTCCGAAAGTGGCTGGTTTGTGAGATACTCAAATTGTTGGTCTTGGTCAAAAAATCCCGAACTAACTAAAAAATATCAATAAATAATAACTATTGGTTGGATTTAAGTGATTTTGGTTTTAACTTGTTGTCAATCAATAAAAAAATGTTAGTACTAGCAGAAATATTCGTTTTAAAATAGCAAGTAAATTCTTATCAAATTTTGTATTGAGTCACTAATTTTGTCATTAGAAAACTAGATTAATGTTAAAAAAATTTATATAACACTAAGCGTACAAACTATTAAAAAAATTCCTTAGGTTAGTTAGCTACCCAAAAACATTAAATTATTTATAAAATTCTCAAAAATAAATATTAACTTTATATTAAGTGAAATGCAAAGGATAAAGGGTAATATCAAAAACTTCTTTCATTGCAAAATTTTGTTCATTAAGACTTCTTCTACGACGAATACATTACACATTACTGGACACGTTTTCTTATTTCTGCGGCGGTCAACTGAATGTGCGTCTTATTTCTTCAGCCGCTTCAATTATTTCTCCGCGAACGATTTCGATAGACGGAATTAACGTTGCATAAACGAGGGAATTCATGTAACAGTAAAAGTCAACCTGTGCGGTGTTAGGACCGTTAGTGACCATTAATAAGATATCGTCAGCACACTGGAGGACTCTGCAATCATAATTTAGACAGGAAGAGAGGGTATTAGTATTAATTCATATTATACAGGATGGGACTAAGGACAGATCCCCTGACCCCCTATAGGCCGTTCTGTGTATAGGGTCATCTTTAGGAGTCCTCAATTGGAATTTGGAGGGTACGGTTGGAAAGGATGCAGCTTATAATTTGGTAAATCCTACTCGGGATTCTCAGCTCCTGCAGTTTCTGCCTAAGAAGGGGTAGGAGGACCGAGTCATAGGCCGATAAGACGTCCAGAAAGACCGCCACCAATGGCTCGTTCCTGTTAAGGGCCGGTCGGGTGACTGACGTGAGGATACCCGCCACACCCAGACCTTTCCTGAATCCGAACCGAGCCACCGGAAACAGCACACGGCCTTTCATCAACCATTCTGACCGGGTCTTTATAAGGTTTTCCAGAATTTTGATAAGTATAGATAAGGGCAATAGGTCTGTAAGAGGAATGATCACCAGGATCTTTGGCAGCTTTTAATAGCGGCATAATAACCTGAACCTTGTAAAAGTCAAAGTAGTAACTTTGAGTCGGTCAATTTCTGTACTCTGTTTGGTTTTGGCTCCTGCTTTGACCAAGAAGGAGTACAGGAACCCACCAATCCCTGGTGCGGAGTCGTCCCAAGCAAAATTCATACTCATCGGGAAAATACAGTGGAGCAATGCTGGTGAAGAAATTGTGGGCTTCAGGCAATATGGAAATTGAAGGAGGCTTTGTGAAAGCAAATTTCTGAAGCTCACCCTCCGCCAAACTACTACTGGTGTGGATGGGCTCAGTGAACTACAGAATCTTCCTTGACTTAGCCAATAGCTGCTTCAAATTAGGGAGATTTTCCAGGTTCATGTCGTGGTTATATGCCTTTTCAGCCTCATTCCTGGCTCTTATCATGACAGCGCATATACAATATTTTATGGAAGGGATTTTGTATTTTGGTGTGCTTTTCACTGGGAAGCAATTTTTTAAGTTGTAGAAGCTATCAACTCCGAAAACTTTGAAAAACCATCCAAAGCATTCTCAATACCAATAATTACGTGTGAGGAAGAAATGTGGGAGTCTAATAATTTTGAATGCAAGTCCCAATCCGCTTTTTGTGATGTTGTGTGCAGTGATTGAAATAAGTCGAAGTCGTTACAGGCGTGGTCGCAGAGCATGCGCGTCCCTGATATTTCGGAGCGTGGGGCGATGTTGAGTGCTTTGAGGATGAATGAGGAAAGAGAGTTTTACTGATTTTGTTTTTTTTAAGGCCCCCAGCCAGAGAAAGAGTTTTACCTTTTTTTTCTTTTTGAAAGGACCACTCGTAGTTCAGCACGCTAAGGCTGTTGACTACTTAACTCGTCGAGTACCGTCATTATAGACACAATTATAGAACAATAGGTTGCGGTCACCGGTGACCGCTTGGTGTTTGACAATTTAGCCGGACAAACCCTGCGATGGCCACTAACAAAAGTTAAGGCCCCCAGCCAGGGCAACTAAGCTAAAATATTAAAACTAAAACTAAATGGCCGCATCGCTGAGGGCACCCCCTGTGGGGTACGAACCTCGGCTCAGCGGGGCTATTTCGGGGGGGCAGCAAGTCGGGACAGGCTGGGTCTGATTATTAAGAGTTTTACCTTGTGAGCGTTGGCTTTTATACCATTCCAGGTATATCCCTACTATAGCTATGCTCACACCCAATGAGACATCGGCCACGTGCGTCCCGAAACACTGTTTATTGTTTAAAATGTGTACAATACATAAAACATAATTGGTACGAACATTAACATTCCATTCTCTACAGGCATTCAAACCTAGTGAGATCTCTGATTTTAAATTAAGAAGATTATCTGTACTATGACCAATTTCTTATAATGAATAAAGATTTATTTATTATTATTATCATAACAACTGAATAGACACAATAAACAAAGCTAAACTAGAAGAAATCAATTAGGGAAGTTAACGCTAGGCCTTATAAGTAATGAAGGGATAAAAGGACTTTTTTATAATGATTAGCTTGAAAACTTAGCTAATCTATGGGCGACCAGGTATAGTTTGAGCAGGGTTGGATAACACTGCCATTTGTATTCTGAAGGTTATGTCTAAAATGTTTTTGGAGTTATGAGTGTTGGTACAGGGAAAGCGTAACCGTTCTGAAATGGAGAAAAGGAGTACAGTAATCGTTGGTAAGGGCTGATAGGCCTTCCGCCTTCTTATCATAACTGGGTGAACACTATCGGCTCAAAAGAATTAACTGGTGATTGAAAAATCGGCCCTTAACTTAAGCTACCATTGTTAGATTAAGGGCCGATTTTAACACTATTTATACGCCTACGAGGGCAGATTTTGGTAGTACTAACCAAAGAGTATAATAAGTATAGGGGAAGTACTAACTTAATACTTTGATCATAATTAATTGCCCAAAATGTAATGAATAAATGATTTGATTTTTATTTGCTTCAAACAAATCAGCCAAATGTTTTGTCGGTAACAAAACCATAGTTTTAATTTAAATCGGCCAACGCCATCTATCATGCTATAGAACAACTCTAATAAAATTTTAATTTTAATAGTAGTATGGCGTTGGCCGAGTGCATTATAGAGCCATGCTCCAGCATGAATGGGCCGGCTCGACCGGAGTGATACCACGGCCGAGCAGAAGACCGACGTGAAACAACGTTGTGTTGTGTTTCGTCATGTGAGTGAGGTAACCGGATGCCCAATTACCCTGCCCCCCTTTCTTCAATCCCTGAATCCCCAACAATCCTCAAATTCCTAATACCAAAAGCCCGTAACGCACTTGTAACGCCTCTGGTGGTCAGGTGTCCATGGGCGACGCCGATTGCTTACCATCAGGTGATCCGTCTGTTCGTTTACTGGTTTATGCCATAAAAAAAAAACTGAAGCAATGCGGCTTGGAGCGGCATAGAGTGCGGGTGAGCCCAAAAGGACAACAATGGAAACACTGTATTGTAAACTTATGCAGTGTAAAAACAAAAATCTTTCTTTGGTCTTTCCCATCGAAAGTGACAACCACAGTTTGGGTAGGCTCACATTCCGTAGCATTGTCTGTTGACACTGTACGGTTCATACGGCTTGCTTTGATTGCAATACTACATCCAGCGGGACCATTGATGTTTCTGATATCTTCCTCCATTCTTGTTATATTACCTATATTGAGGGATTGAGGTGGTATAATTTTGTGCTACCACACAGGTGCCCAGGAAACTATTGAATCTTGGTGAGAGACAAACTCAATGGACACTGTTCCTACCGAGTCGCTTCACTCCTCCGATTTTAATATTGTTTATATTACCTTTCGTCAAAAACATTCCGAATTTGATTGGATGAAGAGTAGTACCAGTCGTCTGGGAGTCCTTGAGCGAACAGGGTTATCTCTAGCCGTATAGCACTGCCTACCTACGGAGTGTTGATGCGGGAGATACTGGGAGAGCCAGGTCGCTTTCTATTATAATTAACTCGTCGAGTACCGTCATTATAGACACAATTACAGAACAATAGGTTGCGGTCACCGGTGTCCTCGCGGTGTTTGACAGTTTAAATTCGGAATCCATTATGTCAAGATCCTGGATGTCGTGAGAGTCCATAAGACATAAAATAGGATTGTATTCAGGAGATTCGTCGGGAGGATCGGGGGCTACTCCTCGGCCATCGTGTGCAATTAAATTGAAAAATTGTGCGAAGTCCTAGTGATGAAGTGTAATTGTCATCGGGGGTTTGATGATGAAGTGCTATGACACCTAAGGGAACTCCTCAACGGGTAACAGTAGCTACCTTCTGTTTGGATTTAGTCTGAAGTATATCTTGCTGACGTAATAAACTGTGAATGTTTGCGAGGATAAAAAAATAAAACAAACAAGTAAAATAAGTGTAATTTATTACATTCAGCTCTTAATGTTACTTGAGCGATTTCTCCACA